AATTCAACTCCCAATTCGTTTGGTCCTAAACCTTGTTTGAGGTAATAATGAACCAATAAGAAAAATAGATTTTTGTGTCAGTGGCCGTCTCGACGGACGCGCTAGAAATCTATTTTCCTCCGACGCTGCTACGTTGACTCTTGTTCTCTCGTTTAGGGTAATAGCTAACAATCTGGCTCTCTTTGAACTTCCTTTTTGGTCTTTTATCGTTAAAGGGGAAACCGATGTGGATTAGCTTTAACCAGTGACGTAAACAGGAAAGGAGAGGGGGGGGGGGCTGAATTTTAAAAGAATGATAAAAGGACCAGCAGAGGCCCTGCCTTATTCTTGGTACTGAGGGAAAGTAATCCAATCTTTATCAGATTGGCAGCAGTGGATTATCTTCATTGCTGAAAGTTGAAACACGTAGAAACCCCAGAAATCTGGTAGTAATAGAAAATTGGTATATATATTGCAAAAATGAAAATTACTTCCTCGTCATGAATACCCGGGTGCATGTTTTGCATTCCTCATTCGAACACAAGTGTGAAATATTTCAAATCAATCATGCAAAATTTTAGTAAAAAAATATTTTTCCGGCTTGGGAGGGGAAGGGGGGATCAATTTCACTTAAGCCGCCCCCCTTACCCCCTTGCGAAAGGAAAATGTGAGTACGCCGCTGGATTCAAACATCCTTGCTATTCTGTATCTTGCAATATTTCCAACAAGGTTCCTGTAGAGAACCTGCAGTGAAGGCTAGGGAGACGAACTGTGGTTTAGTTCGCAGGATTCATACCTTACTCCGAAAAAACGGAGTGCCTTTCGAATCCTAATTACTTGGCACCGCTTCCGTAGTGAGGTTACCGTCGATCCATTGCCTCCACATAACAGGACCCCGGTAATACATCGCCTTCGGTCACAAGGTGGTCTGGACCTGAATTGCAATTGTAAAAAGGCTAGAACAATACACGCTTAGGTGTAGCAACCAGGAGTATCGAGTCATTGTGAATCATTGTGTTTTTATATTATTATTGTTTCGGATGCCAGTTAACTCAGCACTGAACTCGTTTTGTCTTAAGAGGTTTTTTCGTCTGCTTCGCGAAAGGTGGAACTTAAATTATCGCGCATTCATGTCCAGCTATTACGGTTCGCATTCCAGTTATCATAACAATTGAAAACTATTTGCTTTTAAGAGGGATTGTGCAATTTTTTAATTATTTTTACCAGTAATAATTAGGTTATCGAATTATTAATAACCTAATTCCATTTGCACGCTTCCTATTTTTATATACATTACGTGCGTCGACTCTGTCCGCAGCAGGTTTATAACTGAAAATAAACGAAATGCATGTGACCTGCTAGAAAACTGTGAGCACGATAGTGAAGAAAATGAGGATGTCAATAATTAAGTTTGCATTAGAAGAATAAGCTTAAAGTACAATTCCAAACGAACCCATGCAAGCTTTGAAGAAATAGCAACAATTTAGCCTCGTTTCACCAGATGTGACCTTTGTTTTTTTTAACTAAATACTCAAAATCGTGCAGATCAATCGGTTCCTGACCGTAATTCTTATCTGAAGGATTAGAGGGAAGCAGGGTTTGTTCATAGTATATAAAAATATACAAAGCTAAATAGGTATCAAAAAGTGAAACGTACGAGACCTTCTACAGTGAAAATAATAACTTCAGGATGTGTTATAAAATTACCTGAAATATTATATCTCACAAAAAGCGAGAAATAATCGAGCCAAACTCAACCGACCTAGTTTGTTACCCTACTTTCTCACATCAGACAGGGTACTTTGTAGACTCTAACCAATTTCTTCGATGCGCCCGACGTTTCGAAGCCGGCTCGGCTCCTTGATCAAGGGTGACTGTATGTAGCCCAAAGTTAGTAATCTGTCGTTGTTTTCTTCTTCCCTCTTAGGATTGCTTTCTTCTTGTTTTTGTCGGGCACATCGAAGAAATTGGTTAGAGTCTACAAAGTATCCTGTCTTATTACTTACCTAACCAGGCGGAGTTTCGCCGAAATGTTTACTTTTACTTTCTCACATCCTCAATCTAGTTTAAAGAGTTGTTTCCATTACAATAGAAGGGTGTGTACTTGGGCTAGTTGGTTATTCATGAATAGGAGGTAAAAGCGCTAAAAAACGACGGACAAGTTGAAGAATGACGAACACCACAGAGCGCTAGCGCTCTGTGGTGTTCGTCATTCTTCAACTTGTCCGTCGTTTTTTAGCGCTTTTACCTCCTTTCCATTACAAGTAGGCTATTTTTTATATTATTGTTTCAGCATATAAACTGCCACACACACTTGTACCAGAAAAATATAAAAAGTCGTTATATCTAGTTCATATATATAAAAGACTTACGAATATTGTTTTTCATGAGAACATGGTGACCGACGAAGCCCACACATGCATAGAAATGAATGGCGTCCGTTACCGAAAAAAGGACCCGTTTCTTCAATAAAATGCAAGAAAAGTATTTATTACTTTGAATTTGTAAATGCCAAGCTTGTAAACTTTAACATCTAGCCCTTATCACTAGTTCTACATTGGTGCAGGGATTGAGGGATCGTCGAAGCGTAACTATACATTTTCTTTTCCAATAATTTTTTTTATGTACCCTATACTTGTTTTAAAGTTAATATGTTTTAAAACACAGGCCAATGAAGATATCATCAGAACCCCCCAAAAAGCACAATGAAGCTGATTTTGTTTTGTGGCCTATTATCTAAAAAACATTTAAAGCAGCAAATAGGTATTTTAGTACTATCAACTAATACTGGTGGTAGCACTTTAAGCGTGTAGTGCCCCTCAATGTACCATTATAGAAAACTGATTCGTGCTAGAGTAAGAACAATCGCTATATTGTTATTCATAGTGTATTGCTATTAATATATACGTCAGCTGTTGAACGATGGCCTAAAACTTCAACATAATCGTACCTCAGTCTTCTGTAGAAGTGTAATAAATTACTGCAGTAAGGCCGTGACAGGAGCTTGACACTTCACTGAAAAAAACACCTTGTTATACTTTTTAGTGGGGCAAAATAGATACAAATTCATAGGCCTCACGCATAATCTAATTATGCGAATAATTTGGTCATCACGTGATACTTCAAAAAGGCTCCACTTTAATTGGGTCACGGAATTCAACAGTAGGACTCTTTGTTCTTGGAGGTGGCAATAATTCAAGCTGCCTTCACAAAGCATATCCAATACACCTGGATTGCGTGATTGATCTGGATGATCTATGCGCTTGTGTTTTCTCAATACGAGTTTTAGAGACGACATGTGCAATAGAAAATGCCTAATGTATCCACTGAGTGAGCACATTCTACAATAAACCATGCATTAGTGAACAATTAGGCTGCGCTGCAATAAAGCGTACTAGCTCCACTTGACGACGGATAACCATAGTACGGCGGTTGAAAGTAAGATATTAACCTGCAGGGTCCTAATTATCGTTTCTATTTTGAGAGGCGAGACTTGGCACGCATTCTTGGCATACAACTGAATTTTCTTTGTGGCTGCTTAAGAATTGCATTTAATCCGATAATTAGAAACTAAAATTGTTCCATTTTATTTCTTATTTTATGTGACTTAAAACCCGAAAACAACATTAGGCGGTCGAATAAATCGAGCAGTTCGAGTCTCAAGGTTCCGGATACGCGTATATCAAGTTTGGCAGACCGCGGGAGTCAACAACTTTAGGATCTTGTCTACGTTCCCCGTCGACGAATTGGCTCCAATCTGAAGTCAACAGCTTTCAATGATCTTCGTGATCGTTCTCACACGGATGTTGGCAGGAACCTATAGAAAAAGTCGGACTGGAGCATTTCTGGTCTAGGTCTCCGAATCGTTTAGTATGCGTCACCACATACCTATTGCAAAACAAAGGGGGTAGGGGGGGGGGGGGGGGGGGGGTCGACGCGGCACGCACCACGTTACAGGGGACAACCGTCCGACTTTCCGGAAATACTTCAAGGCCTACAAACCCTCTCCGTCACGCCTTGATCTGGATCAATAGTCTGCCTGGTACGAATGGATTTCGCATCTTGTGGTGGCACAACAATCACCGGAAGTAAGGGTGAGAATCGTCTAACTCTATCTCTCTCTTTCACTTCTGTAAGAGCAAAAGGAGGCACACTTATCATGCCACTCACGCGCTGGAGGGACGAAATGGATGACTCCGGCTGACGAAATGTGTAGCAGAAAGGGTGGTCCGAGGCCGATCTGTTTGTGAGTTACTCAAATGCGCACTGACCTTGATCGCTCCGTCAACTCAAGTGGAACAGCGAAGGCAAGAGCTTCCACGAAAGAAATGTTCGTATAAACCCGGTGCAGTTCTGTTGTTATCGACACAAATGCAATAGAAGTTAAGAGCCATGACGCGGGGGCATTCGGAAAGCGGAGCACCTCCACGCGTCATAAAGCGTGACAAGAATTCTACGGTTTTTGTTTGGTGTCTTTGTCGATTGAACCGGTCATTCGATTATAAAGTACGGCGGTGATCCACATTGCAATCGTAGACGGCGCTCACGGCGAACCGCTTTCTTAAGGATTCAGGAAACCCGCTTCATCGACAGCAAGAGTTTCATTCGGGCACCAGAACGTTCGCCGTTGGCGGTCGGTTAGCACGAGACAGAGCATAAGACCGTAACGCGTGCACAGTCAATTGCGCTCTGGCTCTGGATTTGGCTGCTAGAGAGCCGTAAAGGGTAACCTTGCCGTTCCCGGCCGACGACTCGCGCCAGGTTAGTTAAAAGCGATTACGGATTCCGAGCGCGTCCGGAGATGGACTCGCGCGATAGGTAAGGCTCCTCCTCCGGGGAGCGAGGGTTACCCGTTCACAGACCAACGGACAGGGGCAAAAGGGATCTGTTGCAACCGCGACACTTTCACCTACGAGGTAATCTGCGACTCGTTTTTCCAAGGAACCTGCTTCGAGATTGGTCACTCGTTCACGCCCGTTATAAAAGCGGTCGACGAGGGTGAGCTCCTTGCCACATTCGACATGAAGGCACAGGTGAGTGGTGCACCCAGTGCAGCCGCTTGCTGCGCCGAAGGATGCGGTAGGACGTGATCTGAGTTGGCTCAGCTAACGGCGCGCTTTATCTTCCAGCAATTGGCAACCATCTGGCTCTCCTTTGTGTTCTGCGTCCAAGGACAACACGTCGTTTCCTATGGACAAAGGGTCTCAGGAAGTGCCCAGCCATTCGTTTTTAATCAAGGCAAGTATTTTTTCCCCTGAAATCTACCTTCCAGGGTTAAAAGCTGCCGTACCGTCGTGACGAGGGAAGAGTTGCGTTCGTTGTTTCTTGCGTATACTGGCGTGCAGACCGGTTCGGAACTGTAAGACGGGGATGGATTTTTGCAGGAGTGGTTCGTCCAGAAAACCTGATAGCATCAGCTCAATACTCCAATGCCCCGCCAAACCCAAGGGAACTTCCAAATCTCAGGATACCAGCTCCAGCGCTCGAAATTGGACAAAACTTTAGGAGACCCGATGGGCAGTACGGTGTCGGATCCATTTTTGAAAACGGACGCACGTCAATTCCTGCAGGAGCCAGCGTGGCAAGCGGACGTTCGAGTCTCAGTGATCAACTCGGCCTGGGGAACGTTTTCGTAGAAAGAGCAGCCGGCACAGGGCTGCAAGGAGGCTACAGGCGTATCGTGCGCCTTCGGAAGAGGGCAGCCGACGAGAGCCTCGACATACCAGCTTTCGATAAGGAAGGAGAAGAGCTAAAATTTGAAAGTACTGAAAACAAAGAGACGCTCGTAAGCGACGCAGGACTGGACGCAACCCTGAGCGCGCCCCTGGAAGAGCCGGCACCAATTACCAAGCAATGGCAATATGATGGCGGCTACAAATACAGGCTCGCGAAGGCTGCGATCAAGTCTAATCCCCGTAAAGGAATCTCTTTCAAGATACGAGACGGCGAATATAAAGTTGGGTCTGTTTACGACAGTGCGTCTTTACCCCTCTCCCTTGAGAAGCGACAGGCACCCCCAACCAAAAAATTTGTCCCCGCGATCAGTACTGAGGTTTTTTCTGGCAGGAGCAAAGTGTTTCGGGGAGTACCCAAGCGTGGAGAGTTGCCAACCGGAATATCCTTTAAGAAACCAGAAGGAGCGTATGGCATTGGTTCTATCTTTGGAAAGAGAACACCAGTAGGTTTTGAACACCTCCATCACTTGGCTAAACGGCAAGCCGTTGGCTCTGGCAAGGTGACTGCAGTGATCGTGGAGTTCGACAAGGACGCAGAAAATCGCGCCCCCGTGAATCCCCCAGCGTCAAGCCAATTCCGGCCTGGATTTGGGTTCAACGTCCAGGTACCTCCGAATCTAGACGAACGTACCAGCAAGCTTGTGCTCAAGAACGTTGTATACAGGAAGCGTCCGGGTGCTCTGAAGCCCGCGGTTATATTGGACCCACCTAAAAAGCCCGTCCTAAAAATTCCAGACAGCATCGAGATTCCACTGAGTGCTTTCCCAGGACTAACCACAGCTGGTGTCGCTAACCCTGAACCAGTCGCGTCAACACCGGTACAACCAGAGGTCGAACCCACCCCGGCTCCTACTCCTGCGCCTCTCCCGACATCGGGTGCCTCGATCGGATTCAGGCCAACCTTCCCGGTCGAGCACTTCCGACCGTCGCCGCCCCCACTTCACGGTAACCCTTTCAACACGCCCCTGCATCACAAGTTTTCGGCCAGCGGCCTATTTCCCAAGTCCAGTACTTATCCTCCTCCTCCTACGTTCCCTCCAAAGTCACCATTCCCGACCAAGCACCACGCACCCAAGCCTCTGACCCACTCGCATAAGCTCAGTGCCTCACCGCTCGTCGCAGTGCCGCCGGGACAGATTGTCTACAACCGTCAGCTGGCGTCTTCCATTCCCGCCCAGCCATTCAGAAGTCAGGCCTCACCCTTCAACAAGCCTCCCGCCTCTCCAAGTCCTTTGCACGCTGTGCGACAAGTCACGCAGTCTCAGCCAGCGCAGCTGGCACCACCTCTGCAGCAAGCGCCACCACTCCAGCAGGCGCCACCTCCGCAGCAAGCGCCACCTCTGCAACAAGCCCCACCTCTGCAACAAGCGCCACCTCTGCGGCCGGCACCCCCGCTGCCGCCAGCACAACAGGCTCCTCCGGTGCAACAAGTTCAGAACACCTACCCACCCCCTCCGCCGTTGCAGAGTGCTCCCCCTGCCCCAGCCGGACTTCCTCAGCCGTATCCGGGGGTGCTGCAACCTCCTGGAGCCTTGTACCAGCAGTACAGTCCATTTGACCCTGCTGGCTATCCTGTGGGGCAGCCGGGTCACTTCGATCAAGGGTCCTTTGGATTACAATACCCGACGCTCGTCTCCGACCCCTTCGTGCAAGCAAGGAGCGCCAGGTCTGCGGCTCGCAAGCTAAGAGAGGACGCCCCCAGCGCTTCCTCAGTGTACGCGCTCAGCAAGAGGATTGTGGAAGGAGTTCATTCTTGAAAGAAGTCATCGGCTGTTGTTCACGTAAGTGCTTATTTGTGTTTTTTTTTGTTTTTTTTAATTCACTCTTTACGAATTCTAGAGTATTTTCGTTGCCTCATGATGACGCCTGGAGAAATATTAAAAGCGCTTTAACTTTTGCCATGCTCACGGATTGAGTCATGGAGAGTGCGAAGGGAGAGCAAGCTTTACAGCACGGGACTTATGACACCCCCAGTATATATGATTGTTTTACAATAATTTTGCGGTTCAATGAGCCATCGGGCAGCACGTGCTCAGACACCTTCAAGGGATCTATTTATTTTCTTAATTGAGCGCGAGAAATTGCAGATGAAACAATTGTTAAGTTGAACATTATTTAAGTACGTATGGTGTGCTTTTAATGCGAAACGATGATTCCAAATGGACTCTTCAACACCCTATTTCGACACTATATCTTTTTTGAATAGTAGAAATGGAAATATTCTATGTTGTCAGGCAAGAGAGGGAAGATGTTATTTGTGTCGCTGAATATTTTTCATCCTTTATATATACTTAATCTACATTCGAGCTCGCAAAAATATTTAAGCTACTCTTTAAAGAAACCACATTAACATCTTGCAGATGACAGTTGCCTCTTCTTGCAAGTCAGTCAGGCAAAAACGTTATCCCCGCTAATTCCAGATAGTGTGACGACGCATATAAAGTTATGTCATTTTGAGCTGTTTCCTAAGAATTAATATAATTAGGTGTAAGATTATACTTCCACCCAATCGATTCAGGCTTTCTCATGTGATGACAATATATTATGAAAATGGCGGTATTAATTGCGTATCTCGCTGTGAAGGTGCACTCTAAAAATGTTTGTGCTTCTACTTTCACGCACAACACCTGGAGAGCCAATCACGGTTACTTACGGAGGCAGCTCAGCGAATGACAATGCCGAAACATATGTTTAGACCGAAAAACGCAGTCTGAGTTGGGACATTAAGCAATGCAACGTCACGCTTGCATTGCTTAATGTCACAACTCGGACTGCCTTTTTTGGTTTAAACATATGTTTCGGCATTGTCATTCGCTGAGCCGGTTCTGTAAATTGCGGTGATTGGCTTTCCGAGTGTTGTGCGGGAAAGCAGACTCAAGGGCTTTTTTTAGAGTGATGGCAGAGGCAAAACATTTCTTCCAACTGCTCTAAGGCAATTTTAAAAGAATTCAGCAGATGCTAAGTTAGCTGCAAGTTGCCATCATTTTTGTGCCTGCGTTCTGTTTTCCGAGTCTATTTTTTTCAGCAAATTGTAGTTCTACAGAAATTTGATTTCCACAATATAGATTTGTAAATCAATACCTTTTGTACAAAATCGTACAGCTCACTTTGTGCACCCATATCACTGCCGTGAAAGATAATGTTATACACTATCATTCGGCATTTCTGCATCAGCCAAAGCTCTATAATATTCAGTATATATATATATATATATATAAATGTACAACTTGTTTTCTTTATTCTTTTGCAGAATACATTCGTCTGTACATCTCCATGACATCATCACACAGAAAAAAAAATGCATCTGACTTTCTCACCGGAAGCACTCGGCCTTTTTTCATTGGATGCATCATCGTGCCCATAGGAACATCCCATTGCATTGTATATTTGAAAACCAAGATAGCTTGAAATAAATTATGGGAGTCATTTGTCTTCCATATTTTCTCACTCCCGTTTAATTCTAGCGTGAATGCCATCTGCAGTATAGGAATGAGAAATAAACCTTGGAGCATTCAGTTTAGAACTGCAAGTGTTAGAGCCTTACTATATTTATAAAAGCAGGTCCCGGCACCAGTTAGGTAATTATGTAATGCAAAAAAGGACATACTTGGTTCCACGTCACTCGAACTGTCAGAGAGATCTTTGGTCACGATTCACATGCGTCATCTGTTGATGAGGCTCCTGAGGAAGGCTCAGTGATTGTGAACATTTCGAAATTATTCTGTGTGCCAGTGGAGGGGGAAACAAACAAGGCAACACATGTTACTCTAATGTATATGATGTAACCACGTGTAGCTAATTGAACCTTATACATACTATAGTCGTAAAAAGCTTGAGAAATGCGGCGCGTTGCATATACTATGCCCACGCGTCTGCTTTGTAATTCTTCGGTGTTATTATGGGCAAATGTAAGAAACCTATGCAGAGCGCAAGTTCGTCTGATTCTTGAGCAGGAGTAGCGGTGACGCCAGAACGCAGAGGTTTGATTGAAGGATAGTTGGTAGACCTCCAGGGCAGCTTGATTTGAGGTATTCCCCCTATTCTTTAATCTGAGCCAATCAGAGCTCGGCGTTCTGACATAACCACAACCCCTGCAAAAGAAGCAGACGAACTTGCGCTCCGGATTGGCGACAGAACGATAATAAAATGTTCGGAACTCGCCACGATTTGCCTTTCTTAAGCTCTTAGTGACTATGTGTGATAACAATGTGTTGCATCATCCAGTGCTAGCGGTTTACCGTGTGGATGCTCTTCAGGCAAGGTTACACAATCGGACGTGTCTGAGTGTATGCTACACCCCGGTACACTACGAAGACCAATCATTTTTCCTACATGGTACCGCGTATAACAAATGAGGACAATGAGGGCGGTACAACGCTTTTTATGTTACTGTTGACTTGGTGGCGAAAATACGAGTGTATACCTGTTCTTCGACTAAGAACACATAGTTATTGGAGCAGGACACTGGTCGGCATTCTTAATGTTCGAACGGATTAAGAAAAATCTTGGTTACTGCAGTAACGAGTGCATGGCGGTGAAGTATTCCTGCAAGAGATTTTGACTCTTGCAAGATTTTGAGGTACATAAAGACCCGTATTACTTATCTGCAAGACGTCTGGACAGTATGCGAGTGAAGGCGCGTGAATAAGAAGCTTTGTCCCCCCTCCCCGGAAACATCAAAATAAATTTGTATACGGGCGGTTCACGAACATCAATTAGGCCAGAGCCTCGTTGAAAGTATAAGGTCGGTCTGGTTTGTGGAAGATCTCAGACGCGCGATACGGCCAAGCTTCCGAACGGGGTCACCTAGAAGAAGCGACCTGCCCGCATCACGTCCTCTGGAAGGCCGCCTCTGACGGCTTTCCCGTCACGTGACGAGAGATAAGGATTATCGGGACCGAATGTTTTAAGTGGCCCGGCACCTTTCTTCTCCGTGTCTGAAACGTAATAGTTGCGGGAGAATTCGCCTGGTCAACTTTGGCCAATGTGAATTGAAAGTTTACCTTTTTTGTTGTTTTGTTTTCATAATGTCCGACTGGAAACATAAACCCGGAAGTTCATAAAAACACACGCACGCACACGAATACCGTATTCCCTTTTAAGACGCTCACGGGCATTCTGTTATTCATTTCGCGCTGACATTTGGGAATGTGCGAATGTTTTGTCCCGATTCGCGAGCTGGGTACGAACTGCCGCGTCTGCAATAATAAGTCGGAGTAAGTTTGGTGACTCATTGCTCAAAACGTATTGCCACGATCTCTCTTTTTTTGACGTTTACGTTTAAGTTTTACATACGAACGTTTATACTCCGGTTGACACTAAAAAGTTAGACCGCAGTCAACGCTCCACTCTGAAGAAGTCCATCATGCAGCCCTGAAAGTGTATCGTCATGATGCTCGTCGTCTTTGTGCGGTTTATATCGCCTGCTAAAAGAATCATGTACAACCAATATGTCGCGGTCTGGATTTTCTTTTTTTGTCGTGTTAATTTCGTTCGTTCGTGTCGTTTAATTATAGCGAACACATAAAGACAACGAGTGCTGTGACAATGCACTCTTTTAGCACCACTTGTTTGGTTCCATCGGGGCGTAGCTTTGGCTGCGGTCCAACTTAATAAGATACGAAGTTTGGAAACGTTTAATCAAAAATACATTTCGCGTGACCTCGGTCTTTCAACACGCCAAAAATAAAGGTCATATATATATTTTTTAAGGGGTTTACATCTTTTATGTGAGCTATCGCGGATGGTATCAGCTGCAACGTTTCTTTTCTTGGAGTAGGAGCCGTTTTTTAATGCCAAAGAATTAACTGTCCCATGAAGCGGAGCCGGCGTTGTCCGTAACAGCGGAAAATGGCAGAGAAATTCTTTCCACGTCGTAATGACGCTTAAAATTGCTGCGACGCGGTGTGCGCGTCAGATAGTTCCAAGGAACGCCACCCCACGCTCGTGGCGCTGCTTCCGCGTGCCGCCGCAGCAGCGCACACCAGCCGCTACCCAGAGGCCAGAACCCGGCCAGACGGCGTCCGCAGAAGCTGCCCGGCCGGCCTCTGTAGAGGATAGAGGAGGGCAGAGCTTGTAGGAGTACTCTATGTATACGAATGCTTTCGCTTGCCTACACGTAAGCAATCTGAAATGCGTGCCCCTGTAATTCTTTAAAATGCATTTCAAGCTCTAATGTAGCCTTAGCTTTAGTGAGCACGGGCATTTACTTGCTATTGTGAGCTGAAAAATCAATCCGCACGAGTTACGGTCATGTTTCCTTTACTTAATTTGGCTTCGTAAAATGCTTCAGAATTTATTAACGTATATTAGTACGAAATTTCTGAAGGAACGCAATGCCTATGTACCAAAATTCTTTAAGCTCTTTGACAAAATCGAGGAATAATGAATAGTTAAGGGGATTGCTGGCGAAAAAAAAAAAAAAAGAAGCACAAGAATGGGTGTTGCAGCTCACGATGTCTACGGGGGTACGAGTTCTAAGGAACAACTCTCGGCGGTGTTAATATTCGAGGATATGCAGACGAAATGCGTAATATCAAGACGCAGCATCATTTATGGTTTCGAAAATCGGTTGATGGAGCTTACTTAACAAGTCTAGATTGTTTTAAGTATAGCGTTCGCAGTCCTGCTAAGAATCCTGCAGCAGAGCGGCGGGAGTTTACAAAACAGCATATTCAATTTCGATATGCTTTTTGTGTCGTTCATCTACAAAATTGCGTTCGTCTGATATTTGCCTCTGCATACACGGGCACGTTTTTCTTCGCGATTACTGCGTTACACGGGAGCTTATTAAAAATCTTCACTTACAAAAAGGGGTCGTTAGAGCAACGGAGTTATTATGAAAATATTAATGAATGAGTTCATTCCTTATTTCAGACAGAACAATTCCTAAGAGTTAGGGAAAAACAAGGCGAACTTGTTTTCCGGCCGGGCCCTAGCACCTAGTTGCACGAATCCCGGAAAAAAGCTCACCGGAGAAAAGCTCACCGGAGAAACGCTCACCGGAGATAAGCTCACCGCACAAAAACTCACCGCGAAACCGGCGAGTGCGGAGAAAAGCTCAAAAAATTTTTTTCTTCTTTTTATATAGAGGCTGTTGGATCATGCGTAACATGTGTCAATTTATTACCATTAAAATTTGTCAGCTTTGTAAAAAATAAAATGTCCTTTTTTGTATTATTTGTTGATCTTACTGGGTATATTGCTTCAAAATTAATTATTGTGGGTGAAAGCCTATCTGAAATCTTTATGAACTTGAATAACAGGAAAAAGTTCGGAAACTTAATAATGTCTGCCTAAAACCTAAAAATCAAAAGTGTAAACACCGAAAATCCGAAAGTGCATGCGCAACCACGGGGTGCCTGAAATTTTGTTTGAAGCTTTTGTTAGCCTTTGAAAATAGGATAAAGCAGTCAGTAAGATATCGAGGTGTCTTTCTTCCACTGAGATGCACGTTTTCTAACCGTTCGTGCTGGTGTTTCCAGCCGTTGCCTTTGTGTGATAGTGCCCTTCTACGGCGAGATACTCATGACCTTCAGCGCTGCACACTGTCACCGTTGTTACTCGTGACCTATATAAGAAGTGGTGCTCTGTAAGGTAGCAAATAGGGCGAGTTGGTAAAGGTCATGTATGGTGAAAACCGCTCAAACGACGAAGACGGAGTGAAAACAACAAACACGACAGGACGAAGCTGTTCTCGCAGCTAAAGTTTTGTTAGTGAAATTAACAGAAAGAAAACAGCGTAGCCGACACAGATCCCATCAACAAACACCTACTTATCTATTAATCACTACACAATATTTGTAGCTGAAATGGTTCACACACCGCTATTCATATTAGCTCGCAAAGAACAAACCTCTTTATCTGACAGAGCTACTGACGGCACACTGTCAGCTGTCAATAAAGCGTTGTCTTTTTTTAGCGACGTATGGTGTTCTGATTTTTTACCTTGCGGCTTCATTAATATACAAAATGGGTGATTACAAATTTCTGAGGAATTGGTAAATATGCGCAATGAACTTCAGGAATATTAAAAAACAAGAGAACATATTTTTAATGAAGTGACGAATGCGAATTGTGTTAAATTGCCACGCTTGACGCAGAATCCTCTAAGTTAAAAAAGTCGGTGATCTTTTCTCCGCATCCGCTCAAAGGCCGGTGAGCTTTTCTCCGCATCTGCCAGTTTTGCGGTGAGCTTTTCTCCGGTGAGCTTTTTGCTGCCGCCCTAGTGCACACGGGTGAGGCATGACGTCAGCCACGTAGCTCTCCCAAGCTCGTTCGCCTCTTTCTCATCCTCCTTGCAAATCCTTCTTTCAAATAGGAATCACACGTGACCATCGAATGGTACACGGTTGCGCATACCAACAGAGTGATACCAGGTTCAACCGTGCTTCTTTTCATAATCGCCGCAGCAGACTGTACCTGGTGCAAAGACGGTGAGAGTGCAGGCGAG